GCCTCTTTTCTTTCCTTTTTTAATAGGCTTCCTGGTCACTGCTAGTTTGCCTTGGTCCCACATGCAGTCAGGAGGCCCCTTCCCACACCCGGGACGAGCCTCTTGCAAGAGCAGGGGCTAGGAGAGCTCTGCACACCTGAGCGAGAGCGGTGTGGGCGGGGACACAGGCGGGCTTCTTTCTTTATCATACTTTTCAGTATTTTCCAAATTCTCTTCACTGAACACATGCTAGGTTTATAACTAAAGGAGGACAAATAAGCGTCATTTAAAAGACAGAAAGAGCCCTGAATGTGGAGTCAGATGGCTCAGGCAGGCGGGCGCTTTGCCATCTGCTGGCCACAGGCTCCCGCTCTGAGGACCAGTTCTGCCGCACGGAAACGGTGCCCCCACGGTGCGCCTGCTTGGCAGCCCGCAGGCTGTACACAGACCCGCTGTGAGCTGCAGACCGCTGCGTGAAGGTGCCATGAGGGGCTGTGGCAGTCTTCCTCCTTGCTTGGAACTGAAGCATAACTTCCCTTTATGCGGGGAGGATTTTTATTAATTATTTTTGATTACTTAATAAATGCCATTTTCTTGATAGTGTAAAGATCTTTCCAAAATACATGTGTGTAATAATGTCAGCTTTTATTACTATTGAGTTATTCACCTCCGTTACTTGAGCATCACCACAAACTTAATCCGTGGGCAGAGCAGACATGCATTTGCCGGGCTTCGTGGATCCCTGCCCTGGGCCAGGCACTGTGTGCGTGGTGGGGATCCGGAGACGGATAGGACATGGCCACCATCCTTGAGGGAGAGGACTCAACAAACAGGCTGTTGACAAAGTGCTGAGGGCAGAGACCGGAGCCCCTTGGCTCTGGGAGTCGAGGGAGAAGTCCCTGAACCCCACCTCGACTCCCAGGAGGAGTGGTATTTGTCCTGAGCTTTAAAAGATGAGCGCGAGTTTGCAGGGCAGAGACGAGCAGCGAGCGCGTAGTGAAGAGGGCAGTGTAGGCAAAGGCACGGAGAGGTGGGCGAGCTTGGAGAACAGCTCATGTGGGTGCACGGCAGGTGGTGGTGAGAGGCGCGGGAGGGCCGCTGGGGCCGCTAGGGCTGGGGTTCTGCCTTGCCCGCCGCTCAAGCCTGGCGCCCACGAGCACTCAGGCGACGTCGGGAGCTTTTAGCAGAGCCGTGGTGAGGATAGACTTAGGTTTTAGAACTCTTTGGCTGCAACAGCGATGAACTTGTGGGCTGGTTGGGGACAGAGATAAGCTTAGATTCTTACTGCTCCCTCCTCTTTGTGAAAGAGAAGTGAAGTACGCCTGGGGCCTTCCACACCAGCTCTCTGGGACATAAGCTGTGCCCAAGGCCAGCCCTGACCCAGTCGTGCAGCCAGCACCCTCTAGGGTCACCCAGACATCTGGTCCTCACAGCAGCCAACAGAGGCGTGAGGCAGGCCTGGAGAGGGGAGGTCTCTTGGGTGGGTCCCGCCTGGCTACTCCTGTCACAGTGGACAGTGGGGCAGAAGCCCCTTGGGAACAACAGTGAGTGCTGTGCACAGCCCTGGCACACCCCAGGAGCTCTGGCCACGTTTGTCACGCTCATGAGAAGTCAAGTGGACAGTAATGGGTAGGGTTGTTTCGGGCCGTAAAGGAAGCCTGGCCTGCTGTGAGGAGCCTGTGTCTCCCTACAGCCTTCTTCTCCCCCACTTCCATGGGCTAGACCAACTCCCCACCAATATTTCGGGTTTTCATTTGTTAATATTCATTGTTTTGCTTATTATAAAAGTAACATGTTCATTAGAAAATTTGGAAAACAGGTTTTCTGGATGACCTGGTTGAAGGTTTCCTACCCCTCCCCCAACCAGCCTTCCTAAGCAGACTCTGATGGCAGAGCCTTTGTTTTCCATTTTAGGAAGAGCCGAGCACCTCTCCATCTCCAGGGAGCCGAGCAGCCAGCCAGCCGCCTAACTCCTCAGGTAAGAGGCACCGTCCTGCCCTGCACCAGGTACCAGATCCTAGAGCAGGAGGGGCTCTTCAGGAAGATGGTCTGATCTGACAGCCTCACTTTACGGATGAGCAGAGAGGACAAGAGAGACTGCGTTAGCAGGGTCTCCCTGCCGTCTTCTGCAGAAGCCCCACTCCTCTGAGCCCCAAGCCTCCTCAAGGAGCCAGAGGCAAGCTGAGCTATGGCCTTCACACAGCCCCAGCAGGGGCACGGAGGTGCTGGACCGGCTGCCTGTGCTGGCGTCCCAGGGGATGGCCTGCCTTGTCAGGGCAGCAGAGCCAGCTAGACTGTAAAGACCACCCATCCAGCTCTCTCTCGTTTTCCTATACGAGGGAAGGAGCTCGCCTGCCAGCACGTGTCAAGTGGCAGGAGATTGTGCCTAGGGCTCAGGTTCCTGGCCTTGGGCCAGGGCTTCGAAGAGGAATGTTTAGGGGCCAGCCCGGTGGCGCAAGCGGTTAAGTGCACGCGCTCTGCTTTGGTGGCCCGGGGTTCGCCAGTTCGCCTCCCGGGTGCGCACTGACACACTGCTTGGCAAGCCATGCTGTGGCGGCGTCCCATATAAAGTAGAGGAAGATAGGGCCGGCCCTGTGGCT